TATATTCCTTGTTAGAATATCAGCTTCATCAGGGCAGGGGTCATGGCTATCTTATTTTCCTCTGTAAGAAAAGTGAAAGTGTTAGTTGCTAAACTGTGTCCAAATCTTTGTGACCCCATGGACTGTAGCCTGCCAGGTTCCTTTGCTCATAGAATTCTCTAGGCAAGAATACTAGAGTGGGTAGCCATTCCCTTTTCCAGGAGATCTTCCCAACCCAGGGATTGAACCCATGTCTCCTGAGTGGCAGGCAGATTCTTTACTGTCTGAGCCACCAGGAAAGAACCAAGACATTGCCTTTTGGCGTTTGGTCTTAGTATCAGGACAACTTACAGACTCTGGGCAAAGGCTTTGTAGCAACAGGCATATTGATATATAAGATTAGGCTATTTTTTAAATTAGATGAAAATAAAACTTGGATTTAAAAATTATGTTAATGCATCTAGTGAATACTCTTGATGTTTCAGGAGAAGACTGCCCTGAATTCAACTCAGATACTTCTTGAGCACCTCTTAAGTTTGGTGGTACAAATTCAATCTTTGATCTTGAGAAGTTCTAGTCTAGAGAGTAGATTGGGTCCTGAATTTTTAAAAAAATTTTATTTATTTGACTGTGTCGGGTCCTAGTTGCTGCACGTGGGGTCTTCACTGTCACATGCAGAATCTTTCCTTGTGGCACACACACTCTCTACTCATGGTGCGTGGCCTTAATTGCTCTGTGGCAAGTGGGATCTTAGTTCTCTGCCTAGGGATCAAACCTGCATCCCCTGCATGCAAGGCAGATTCTTAACCACTGGACCACCAGGGAAGTTCTCTGAATTTTTTAAAAAGTCTATTTACTAGGCTGTCAGATCTAAGAGACTATGGCTAGAATTTATGTTTGCTCAATGCTGTGGGGCTTCCGAAGGAAGAACTGGAACTCTGGAATCCCGGAGCCTTTTACCCTTAAATTATAGATCACAAACTTTCCCAAGTTTAAAGATTATCCCAAGATGGAGAGTCACCATGAAGTGACTGGGCATCAAAATCCATGGAAGTCTCTCTGACTCTTCCCCTGCCTGCTCTGTGAGAGTTTCCACCATCTCAACTCCTTCTAGATAAACCTGGACGTTTTCAAGGATGTTCTCACACGTACTCTACCTCTTGGTCCTTGGCGACTCTGTGATGGCCACCATTTTGGTTCTATCCTTCCCTAATGAATCCTTCCAATGAATCTTTCATGACAGACTGGTGCCCTGGGTGACCAAAGACACTCTAGTCGCAGGTCATGAGGAGCCCACCCACCTACTGGTGCCAGCTGCTGTGTGTGGCCATGCCTCTGTCAGCACCGCCACCGAGTCTAACGCTGCCACCCACTCTGTCTACAGATATGGTCAACACCTTTCCTCTCCTTCCCTGCCTGTGGCCAAAAGGCTCTAAAACAAAACCAGAGCGCGCACCTGGATCCAGTTAGCCATCTGTTCAGGAGCCAAGTACACAAGGAATTTCTGAGTCACAGCCTTTCTACTCCCCACTTCATGTCTTCTGCTTGCTACCTCATCAGCCAGGAAAGGCTTGACGTGAGAAGCTCGATCTTTGTTTCAGATATTCCCATTTTCCTCTCATTTACCACCCCCGTGGGAGGAACCAATTTAACTCCAAATAAATTAAGGGACTCTATCATGTAAGTGTGTTTGTAATAAGGCATATGCCTATGCTCCCCACACCTCCAAAATTAGCTCAGAAAAACACTCCTTTTCTCCCTACAGTCAGCTCTGTCTGCCAAGGAGGAGCGCATTTCCTGAGGCTGTTTGTCCTAGACCTTCCCATTCCCAGTGGGGGCCTGGGCTGCCTCGTTTTATTGTCTGCCTTAGAAAGAACAGTCTGGTTTGGTCAAGAGGTTAAGAATCTTGGCCTTGTACACAGCACACCAAGTAGTTAGGAGCACAGGCTTTGATACCCAGATTCTGACTCTGCTGTCTCCTAGTCACTCTGACTGTTCCCTTATCTGTAAAATGGGGAGATCCTTGTGACAGACGGGAACACTAAGTGAGGCTGCATAGACAGTGCTTGGCTTTGAATTACAATAATCACTCTATTATTGGCTGCTACTAATAAAAACTAAAATAGCTAAGTGGTTTCCTTTTAATAGTAAGACATGCAACAATAGTGTTTTGACATGTCTTCCTGTCTCCAGCTTATTCTATACAGTTCGTTTTCACTCAGCTGCTAGATTCATCTCCCCAGAACATTTTGATCATGTTATTACTCCATGTGAAAATATCGGATGGCTTCCCATTACTTACAAAGAAAGTTTGAAGTCTTTCTCTTCATGCTCAAGGCGCTTTGATCTGGCCACAACAAAATGTTACCTCCTTTTCTCCACTACTCTCTTCACACATCCTCCACTCCAATTAAAATAAACCAACATTCCTTAGGCACACCCACACCCCACATACTGTTTGTCCTTTTTATCTGGAATCCAGATTTTATCTGTTCTTTGTCCCTAGCTCAAGTGCCACCGCCTCCACCAAGCCTTTCCCAGTCCACAGCGGTAAACCCCATAACTCTTTATGGGCTTTGGGGCACTTATCTTTTGTCACCACATAAGTATCTTCGTAAACTTTGTGCTCCAAATTTATACATACATCTACCATATCAGATGATTAATGATTATATCTGCCTGATTCAGCTCCATCTTCCTAAGCTAAGATTTCTCAACCTTGCAGCTATTATTCTGGGCCAAATAACTCTGTTGTGGTGGGATGTCATCTGTACTGTAGACTGTTTGGCAGCAACGGTGGCCTCCAGTCACTAGAGGCCAATAGCATCTCCCCACCCCCAGGTATGACAACTAAAATTGTCTCCGGACATTGCCAGATGTCTCTTGGAGGGCTAAATCACCCCCCAGTTGAGAACCACTGCCCCAGACCAAGCTTGGAGGTCTGAATATGGACGTGTGTGCGCGTGCTAAGTCGTTTTAGTCGTGTCTGACTCTGCGACCCTATGGACTGTAGCCTGCCAGGCTCCTCTGTCCATGGAGCAGGTTGCTGTGCCTTGCTCCAGGGGATGCTCCTGACTCATCTCTTACGTCTCCTGCATTGGAGGGCAGGTTCTTTTTTCTTTTTTTTTTTTGGAGGGCAGGTCCTTTACCACTTGTGCCACCTGGGAAGCTCCTTGGAATATGGATAGTTCTCAGTAAATGCTTATGAAAGAAAAGAAGGAGTTTGGCTTATGTCCTTTTAAATTTAAACAGTAGTGGAACATATGATTAATGTTATTATTTCAGTAATTAGAAATAAATGTATAGAGTCCCCATGAGAACTAAGAACTAAGAGACAAAGATTTGAATATCACTAGCAGTGGTATCAGTCAGTAGGTATCTATTGTGTAACCATAATGTTTATGGAGTGTGGAGTGGTAAAGAATCCATCTGCCAATGCAGGAGACATGAGAGACATGGGTTTGATCCCTGGGTTGGGAAGCTCCCCTGGAGGAGGGCATGGCAACCCACTGCAGTATCTTTGTCTACAGAATCCCATGGACAGAGGAGCCTGGTGGGCTACAGTCCATGGGGTCACAAAGAGTCGGACACGACGGAAGTGACTTAGCACACACACTAGTGGAGTCAGGTAGGAGTTGGGTTCCAGTACCAGCCTCACCACTATAAGCTGTCATATAGGTGAGCACCTTAGTGTCTGTAAACTTCAGTTCCCTCATTCTGTAAAATGGGGATAATAATTGTAACCCATATGTGGTCATTATGAGGATAAATTAGATAATGCACTTAAAGCGGTTAGCAGAGAGTCTAGAATGTAGTTAGCACTTAATAATAGCTCAAAGCTATTATTAATGCTGTGATTATTACTGTAATAATGATTCATGTCTAATTCTTTCGGAGGTCATGACAGTATTACTTATTTCCGTTTTATAGATGGCTTGTGGTTGGGATCTGGATCTTCTCATCTCCAACTTTCACTACATCATCATTTATCTGACACAATGCAAACAGAATCACATTTACAGGAAGAATCTTCATTTAAAAAAAAAATTGGAAACTGAGTGCTAACTGCCTACAGCAAAAATTCTTTTTCAATTGGTAAATATCATCTTCATCCATAACTATCATTGGGAAATTCAGTAACTGCTTATTAAGCACTTTGGATAAGTACATGTGCTAGATATTGGATATAAGACACCTGTGTTGCTAAAACACAGCACCTGCCTGTTTGTAGCTTACAAACCCGCAGGCTCGAAGATTCTGTCCTTTAGGCTTTAAAAAAAAAGTGAATTCAGAAGTTTAGCAACCGGTTGGCACCAGTTCCAGGCAGCATTTGATTTTTGGAGCCAAGCAGCACCAGCAGCTGCCTCAGTCTCTTGCAGAAGCTGAGAGAAGCTCAGGGACAGGACAACAGGTAGGTGGGGAGCGAACTCTGACAGTCAATCAGCTAAGTGTATCTATCAGGCCATTCCACCCTCCAGCAGAGCAAATCTCTTGCCTTAGAAGACAGACAACAGAGAGAAGGTCAGGAAATTTTAGACCCAAACCAGTTCTATCACCCACAAAGTGGGTGACTCGGGGGCAAAAGGACAACCAAAAAAACCCTCTTCAAACCTCTGTTTACTCATCTGCAAATGAAGGGCATCAGATGAAATGAGTGGTTCTTAATTAGTGTTACCCATATTGGAGGTGGGACGCTGGAATAGTGTAGATGGTGCAGTAGCTTTTTTTTTTTAGCAACTACTAGCCATTAGCGAAATGCCTGACAACTCTTAAATATACCTGGAGGGGGAAAGCGTTTGTTATCACGTTAGATCTCTGATGTTTAACCGAGTGTATTATCCAGTGGGTTAGATTCATTTGTTCGTTCATTCATTCATTAAGCAGTTGAGCACAGTGGCTGTATGCTGGTCCTGGACTCGGACCAGATACTGCCCTTGTCCTCAGATGGGGCTTAACATTTTACGCGCGAAATCCATCATAGGTTATACGGGAGGCATGAAGTCTTTTCTCCTCCCTAAGTACTAACCCCTGAGCTGGACCTGACATGCCCCTGTGGAGCTGGTGATGGCGATCCCTGCCTCCCGACTCCTTACCGCCAGCTCCTTAGACCCCGTTCCTATTGGCTGGGAAATTCTCCAGCAGCTGTCCGAGTCCCCCCCTTTGGTTTCCGTGGCGGCAGAGGGATCCGCCTCGAGTGCCCTCAGATTCCGGTAGGTGGAGCCAAACCCCCTGGCTGAGACGCTGGGCTCGCTCCCTCCGCAGGCCCCGGTGGGCGGGCGGGCGCCTCTCAAGCCACCTCCTTCCCTCTCTCTCCTCTCCTGTGCGGTCCCCTCCACATCCCCACCAACCGAGTGCGTCGGAAGGGAAATCGTGCCAGACTTGCAGACGGCTGCCAGGTTTCTCTCAAGTCTTGGCTTAACAAAGGAAAGCAAATTACAAAAATGGAAATTTTCAAACCAGCGTTCAGTGGTATTCAGATCGACGTTTGGGTAGCACGCAGGCACAGACCGCATTCGTGCTATTTTGTGATTAAAATGATACGGAAAATACCTCCTTGCTGGGGTTTTCTTCTTCCAAAACGACTTGTTTCTTTCCCTGTGCGAATTTCCCCTTTTTTCGGGGAGCGGCAGCCCCCTGACCACTCTAGAACTGCTAACATCTGTTGAAATCTTGCCTCCGCTGACTTTTTTTTTTTTTTCTCTAAAGAGTTGAACTTTAAAAAATGCCTGCACTTTGCAGTCTGGAGAAATCCAGATAAAGAAGTTTCTAGGCACTTTCCCAGGGAGTCCTGCGTTTTGTATAAGGAACTCCGAGTTCGGTGACACAGCATGAATCTCTTTCCTTTTCACCTCGATGCGATACCTGAATATGAATCTTGCCAGAAACACATGCTACCTTGTTCTCCTCTCCGCTTGAATGGTGTGCTCTGCCTCATCCTTTAAAAAATGGTTTTCAAATGGCCATTGAGTTGGGTTTTGAATGATTTTACTTAACAGTGAAGTTAAAAAAAAAAAAAAAAAGGAAAAGAAAAGCCTGATCATGTCCTCCTTGCTAATTTTTGCAGTTGCTAGACAGGCCCTGTCCCAAGTGGGTTTGTGAGAAAGGCGCTCCCATTGTTAGTCCGCTCCCCCACCTCACTCCCCCAGACGGTACCATTTCTTTCCTTGGAAGCTTTGACTGTCTCCTTACACAGCTGTGTTTGCAGTGCCTGGAGACAGGTGGGGGAGCAGCCTCCAGGCCAAAGCTGCCAATTCTCTCTCTAAGGACTGTCTGACTAGCTATTAAAATTTAAAGATCACACACATGCACACACACTTTTTTCGTAGCGGTCATTCTTTGTTATATAGGGGCAGCTGTACTACCAATTAGCCAGACTGATAATACTAGAGGTCACAACCATTCTGTTTGTATTCTCCAGCCCACATAAGCATTGTTTGCATGCGTGCTAAGTCACTTCAGTTGTGTCTGACTCTTTGCGACCCTATGGACTGCAGCCCAACAGGCTCCTCTGTCTATGGGATTCTTCAGGCAAGAATACTGGAGTGGGTTGCCATGCTCTCTTCCAGGGGATCTTCCCAACCCAGGGATCGAACCCACATCTCTTATGCCTCCTGCATTGGCAGGCGAGTTCTTTACCACTAGCACCACCTGGGTTAAGGCTACATCTTTTTTGTTTTTTGGTGGCACTCAGGCTTGCTGATCTTAGTTCCCTGGCCAGAGATTGAACCCGTGCCTCCTGCCATAGAAGTGCAGAGTCCTAACCACTGGACTGCCAGGGGAGTTGGATGGCCACATCTTTCTAGGCACCATAGACGGCCTGGTCCTGTGGCCTTGGCCCAGTGCGGGGACAGATTAGGATTGTGGCTGCTCATCTCAATAGGTAACCGTGGGCAATCTTCAGGCAGTGGTCACAGTTAGAGGTCCTTGTTGATTGGGGTCTACACAAAAGAGAATTCTCTGCCTGAGTCAATTGAGAGCAGATAAACCAGACTAGACTGGTCATGTTTTTCAGATTTCGGAATGGAAGGATGATTTTTCCAGACTGGATCAGACACGCTATGGTTTCACCCTGAGGATTCTAGCTGTGAGTACCTTGTCCTCTTTAGGACCTTATCTTGTGCTGTTACCTCCTCTTGGAATTCCCCCTCTTCCATGCTCTGCTCTACTGACAAACTCTTGTCTTTCAAGACTTCTCAAATGCAACCCCTCTGAAGTCTTTCACAGCTATGACCGTGTGTCAGTACCCCTGTAGAGTTCATCACCCTGTCATCTGTCCAATATAACTTTATTGTTTGATCTGTGCAACATACTCACCATATTATGCATATTTTTATGCCTTTTTCTCCCCTGAGAACATAGGCAGGGAACATGTCTTATTTACCTCATGACCCTCACACTAAAAATTCTCAAGAAAAAAAATCTCATGAATGAATAAAGAAAAGTGCTTGTTTTTTAAACATTTTCAAAGAGGAAGTTTGTTTTCTTTCAGGTTGTTCTAGTTCAAGGGCCAGACTTCTATGACTGTGTCTGCAGAGCTGAGAGTAAAAATCCTCAATTTATGTTAAAGTCTGACTTTAATATCTCAGAGATGTTCTTCTGCTTATGGTAAGTTTGATATGCATGTAGGTGGAAAATGTCTGTAGCCCCACCACCTGATTAATGCATCTGTTACAAAGTCTGATGAAGCAGAATATCATCACAAGCATGCGAGCTTGTGGGAATGATGCAGTCCTATTGTTTGGTGCTTCCCAGGTGGTGCTAGTAGTAAAGAACCCGCCTGCCAGTGCAGGGGATGTAAGATCTGTGGGTTCTATCCCCAGGTTGGGAAGATCCCCTGGAGGAGGGCATGGCAACCCACTCCAGTATTCTTGCCTGGAGAATCTAATGGACAGAGGAGCCTGGTGGGATACAGTCCGTGGGGTCTCAAAGAGTCGGCCACAACTGAAGTGACTTATCATCATCATTCGGTGCACTCTTACAAGTTATACTAACTAGATGTTATTTATTAGACTTTATTCACTGATTTGCTCAAGCTCAAAACCTGGAAATGTCCTTGGGACTACTTTCTCCCTCACTTCCCATGTCTGGTTATCCCCAATCATGTCACTACTTCTCCAGAATATCTCTCAGATGTGGCCACTGTTCTCCATCTCTGCCATTGCGCCATTCCAGGCCACTATCACTTCCCACCTGGACCATTGCCAAGGCTTCTAGTTAGTTTTTCTGCTTCTTGTCTTGCCTGCCTCCCACCCTGTCACTCCCTGGGCAGCCACTTTTCCAGTGACTGCACTGAACATAATCCTTTACATGACATGGTGTGGTCGGGCTCCTGCCTGTATTTTGAGCCTGTTTCTCACTGCATGTACTAGCTTTCAGGTCCGTGAACTTGCCACAGTCCAGCCTATTTCAAAGTTTATCCCTGTGCTTGCTTCTCCTGGGAATAATCATTCTCTCTCTTGGATCACTTCCCATCTTTCAGAAATCAATTTCAGTGACACTTTCTTGGAGATGTATCCCCTACTTCTCCTCCCCACTTCTTCTCTCCTGGATAGATCAGGTTCCCATTATTGTTCCTCCCGATGCCCTGTTTTTTCTTCATGTTAATCATCACAGGTTACAGCACTAGTGGTAATGAACCTGCCTGCGAATGCAGGAGACATAAGAGAAATAAGTTCAATAACTGTGTTGGGAAGATCCCCTGGGGTAGGGCGTGGCAATGTACTCCAGCATTCTTGCCTGGAGAATTCTATGGACAGAGGAGCTTGGCAGGCTAAAGTCCATTGGGTTGTAAAGAATCAGACATGACAGAAGCAACTTAGCATGCACAGGGATAAAATTATTGATATTTTTTATGTCTGTCTCCACAACCACAGTAGATCACATGAAAGCAGGGATCTTGATTCTTTATTCAAAAGAGTTGACCTGTGTACCCAAAGCCTAACATATAGTAGGTAGTCAAGAAATACTCTGGCTAGTGCTGCAATAAAAAATGTAACAGGTTGTGTGTAGTAGGCCTGTGACATGAAAGTTTCATGCAAAAAAATAAATGGTAATCTGAAATGAGACTCAAAGATGTTTATGCATACAGAGCAGGCGAGGGCAAGACTTGAGTTATGATATGATATCCCACAGCCTTTCTCCACTGCTATTTGAAAAATAAGAAGAGAACAAGAACAAAAATATTTGTCTTACAGCTCTACCAAGATTCAGCCCTCCCCTTTCTCTCCCCCTTGCATCAAGTACATCCTGTACTTTTGGCAACATGTTGACTGGATATTTAAAAGCTGTGAACTGTTCTGAAAATTTCACATACTGGGTTATGGGCCATGTGTGTTTGATCAAAATTCAATTACTACGCTGTACCATACTTGGAAACCTATCATCCCAAGTTATGAAGTATGACGAAATAGGCGAACCTAATTGGTTCAGTATGGGAACAGTATCAACCAAGCTTGTTATGATAAATAGCTTCCTGTGTTAAAGGTTCTCTAGAGCTTATAAGTATCTTGGCTCACCTCCTTCAGTGGAATAAGAATATTGCTCCCAGGGACCCCCTAGATCACTGCCCCTCCAATGGAACGGCAGTTGAGGGTTTTCTTCAACTTACTCCCCCTGAAAAAGAAAAATGCTGTGCAATTTTTCCTCTTCCTTATCATTTCTTCATTTAGAATTTGAGCACCTGGGAACTTCTTTAGCTTTCTTCTTCCCCAGAAAAAAAAAATTTTACAAAATTATGAAGTATTCCAAATATAGGAATATAGAGCAAACATCAAACATCTGTGTACCCACCACTCAGAATTAACAAATAGTCATTTTTCCCCCCTATTTCCCTCAGATTTTTTCTCTTTGTTTTTTATGAATCCGTTCGACTGCTTCTTGGGACCAAAGATGGACCACTGTTTATTAAATCACAGTGTTCATGAGATTTATGACTTCAGTCCTGACATACTCCAACACACTTGAATCAAATGCATCTTATCACAGAGTGGTACTTGTAAGTGGTAAGTTTTTTCAGGTGTTGAAATGGACTCAATGAGAATTCCTGGTTTATATTGTAAATGAGATTTCAAGGATCCTCGGAGGAGGAGTATTGTTGGAGGTGTGGCCAGAGAGATCAAGACATTTTCTTAACAGTTCAGAAAGGATAAACAAATAGAATAAAAACTATTCCATGCTCTGTGGTCATCATGGGCATAGACACATGATTTTTCTTTAGAAGTTGGGTTGTTTAAACATTTTGGGTTGGGTAAGAAGTATTCCTTTCTAGTGATCTCAGTAGAGGAGAAAACAGTTGGATGATTGTCATCTTAACTTCTGAAAAATGATCAGTAGCATTGGCATTTTCCTTAGAAGTCAGGTTTAAGGCTAGAAAAGTTTGCATATATTTCTTTTTTATTAATTAATTTTTATTGCAGTATAGTTGCTTTATAATATTGTATTGCCTCTCACTGTATAGCAAAATAAATAAACCATGCATTTACATCTATCTCCTCTCTTGAATTTCACTCCCATT